TTGCTGGTGAGTATACCTTCTAGACGAGAATGAAGGCAAGGTTCAGTAGGATAGGAGGATGCCATCTAAAACTATACCTATGGGCCCAATATGGGTTGTGGAGCAGAGGCGGGGCGCTGATATATCTCTCTCTCTCCCTTTCTCTCTTTAACCGTCTATCACATTCAGCTAACATCTTTCACCGTAAGTACTATGTCCATTCATACACAGCCAAGCAGCTCTGCTATTCTTGTCCTCACCAAGGATCCATACCAGTGTAGTCGAGAAACTGCAGGAAGGCATTAACCACGGGGACAGGTTAATTCTATGTATATAAACATATATATATAATTGGCTCTTTGTAACCGCTGAAGCGATTTTCGGCCGAGCTCCTCCTCCAATTTGTGGTTTTGCATCTTGATGTTTTTTCAACAAATAGAGGGACCTTCAGTTCATACTGAACGGCTGATGGCTTTTTTACGAGGAGCCTTTATTTCATGTCCGAAATATACTCAGAGGTATGGACACTCCCTGCCGAGGGGCGACCGCAGTTAGAAAGCTTAATTTAATTTATTAATTGAATTAGTTTTCTATAACTTTTGGATGTTGGCCGCACAGGGATTTGAGCCCGAGCCTTCCGAATGTCAGTACGCAATGCTAACCGCCTTTAGGAACGATCAAGACAGAGATGCCAGACATAGAACACTTGGTAAGCGTCAGGTAACGAGCTTGGAATGGCTGACTATAAAAAGCTTAAAGGATATTAGTAGTTTCAGTGAAGCAAAAACAATAAAAGAGGACAGCAATAATATTGTATGATATAAAGGTCTTAGGATTAGTGTACAACCAGAAGCAAAAACTATGACTTGGAGATCTCCCCAGTGAAGTGTATTTTGACCAAATATCCATGACCATATATCCAGCCATATATCGGTAAGAGAATCATGGCTCTGAGTGGAAACATGTTTCAAATGAGCGAAAATTCTTTAAACCTCTTGATCGATGAAGTCCCATCGTTGCCGAACAGCAAGGCTTACTGTGCACAGATAGAACTAACGAACCTGATTTCGCAAAACAAATGACCTTCAAGATTGGGAGCTCCATGGGAGCCCAATTTAATAACTTCTAAGACTAACAGAGTAGAATTATCTTACAGACATGATTGAGGGCACTCCTCTGAAATTTGTCAAAGAAATTGTAAAGCTACACCACTGTACAACGCGTCGGTCGGTCCGCAATGCATAACTCAGCGAGAGCAAGAAAACCTTTGAAATGCAGTCACAGGTTGCTCTTCAGCGGCCACTCGGCGGCGGCATAAATAACCACAGCCAAGTATAGCAATAAGAACAACAACGAAAACAACAACACAATAGTTGCATAACATCAACGAAAAACAATTTAGTGATTTTGAATTGGTTGGGAAAGTGCATTGTGTTGTTATTTTAAATATTACACACAGCGGTAGCAGCAACGGTGGCAATGATCCATCAGACCTCCGACACACGCATACACCGCGGTGTCATGTTGGCGGTAGCAAAGCTCAAGTTGGGCGTGCGTCCGGCAGTGGCACGACATGGAAATGCAATTTGTGTAATTTATACCATTCAACAGCGAGATGGATAGATGATATCCCAGCCGATACGATTGAATTGAATTTGTGTTGCGATCCAGCGAGCGATATACCAATGCAGCGATAGCGACTGATTCGATTACTTGAAAGCGCGCGCACAGGCTGAAGAGTGCGCTCGGTCACCGGTTGCCGAACAGCGCGATTGCTGCGGCGGCTGTGCGACGACAACGGCGATTTATGTGCGCTTGGACAAGATGCCGTCGCTGATAAGAAATAAAAACGCATTAAGCAGTGATGTTGTAGCGCGATTAGTTGTAGCGCTGCCCCGCGTCGCGCCACACAGTGGAGACAAGGCGCGCCAAGTCCAGGCAAAAAAAGCACGCACGCACACTGCGGTGAGTTAAGGTCATAAAGCCAAAAAAAATAAACGTCAATACGTTCGGCAGGTAGCTGAGCAATTATGCAGACAGAAAAAAAAACTAACAGACGGACAGAAGAATATAACAACGGGCGGACCGGGCGAGTGGAGGCACACACACAAAAAAGAAAGAAAAAATGAACAGTGAGCTGCGCAAGCAATAATACTGTGATTTTTTCACCTTCATATTTCCTTTTTTATCTTTTATTAATTTTTGCTACACCGCTTCGCGATCAATATCTACGAGCGGACACGCTGCCAGCTGCGCGTTGCAAAAATTAAAATAGCGCTTGAGCAAAAATCTTATTCTGTGAAATCACACCAGAAATCGCAGCTATCAGCATCCTGCCAGCTGCCACTTGTTTCACACGATGCATGTGCAGCGCCTTCCCACACTTACGCTTTATGTCGCAGAGCTTTAGTTATTTTCCTACTACGGCGCGCCGTAGCGTTATCTTCTGCACTCGCAATATCCTTTTTGCGACTGTGACTGTTGCGATTTCATTGCTGCGATTTGTAGTGTTCCATCCTTGCGCAGGATGCTGTTGCTGCTGCTTTATTGGCTTCACACTGTGCTTTTTCGCTCTATGCTCCAGGCTCACATGCCTTCTCGTACATACACAAACACACACACACTCACACTCATACAAACTATTTTCCCATTGTACCGTGCGAAATTGTCCTTCATTGGCGTTTTTGGCGTCGCTTGCCGAACAGACTGTTCGCATCGGAAGCAATTAATCATTGAATAATGTGTGTCTGCATTGGTCAATGTGGCCCTTGTATCCTTTTAGCTGGACGCAGGCATCCTTGTTACGAGTTGGCAGAAATATATTACTCTTGCGATGTTTTGCCTTCATTAGGGGGCTCCTTAAAATGGTGGTAATTTTTTTTTTAAATTTTCGTCCAGATCTTTTCTTTCATTCCCATCATAAACAAAATTTTTTTTTTTACCCTTCTGAACACCTCCGAGATAAGATTGTCATCAAAGTTTGTCTTCTCTCAAACGGGTTAGAAATTCAACACACTCTAAAACGGTTGACTGTTAATTATGGTTGCATTCGAGTCCGTCTAAATCATGATCTAGGTAATTTAAGATCGAAAATAATATTTCCTTGTCTCAATCGGTACTGGTTAGCCACGCCTAAGTTAGGATTTTCATAGGCTCACTGAAGAAGAGCATATCGGATGACAGAGAGGATCAGATCTTATTTTCAGCAAACCTTATTTGAACTCTCTTCAAGCGGTAATTTGATATACCTAATTTGAGGTGGCTGATCTTCAAAGATCGCACATATACGTAATCAGGCATGGCTGATGTGAGGTGTCATAGAAGCGCTATGTTAGAACAATGGCGACCCAGCCTTCTAAGATCAAAGCTCTGACACATTGTGGAAGGCCCGTCAGAGATTTTTTCCGAATGCCACTAATTTGGGTTCTTGGTGACAGGGACGTGGAGGGAAACTGCAAGGCAAACGAAAGACGTAAACTGCTTCTTAAATAACATACTTATGGTCGAGCCGACCTCTGATGAATTTAAATCGGGACCTGTAGGAAATCTTGGCTGTTGGCTGAAATGTGATCGTAAGAAGTCACGCAAAATGTAGCCTCTTAGGCGGGAGGACATTTCAATAGTAGTGGCTGTCCTAAGAGTCCACTGTCTGATAGAACGAACAATGGTGTTGATTGTTTTTCCTCAATAGCCACTTCTACCTACCCTAAACCCTTCAAAACGAGTTTGATTCCTTTTATCTCAAAGAGAATAGTGAATCACCCATTGCATGAACAAAGTCTCTACAGACTCTATAGTTGTAAGTGTTCGTAAAACTATTAGTTTTCTTAGAGGCCCCAATTTAAGGCATGGAACATGGAAATTTCACAGAGGTAAGTTCTCTGAGTTTTGAAGTCCAACTCAGAATCACATATTTCAGCGAATGAAGAGGCAGCGGTAATGCTGACTAGGTCGGTTAGTCGAAAGGGTTGAAAGCACTCCAATTTTTAAAGTATTCGATGCAGTACCTACTGATGGAAGCAAAGGAAGATCTTCACTCCGTTGCAACAATCAGATGGAGAGCGACCTGAATACGCGACCGGGGCATGAGCAAGTTGAAGGTGAAACGCATGATTATTGTCTTTTTTGATAGCCGTGGAATCGTCCACAAAGAATTTCTGCCACCGGGGCAAACCGTAAATCAAGTCTGCTATCGCCAAGTACTCGAAAATTGCGTAAACGAGTGAACAGCGTGCGCTCAGTATTTGGCGTCTATAGGGATCGCCGTGTTGCAACAACCGCCTTATTCGCCCGATATGTCAACCTGTGCTTTTTTTAGTTCCCTAGAACAAAATCGGTTTTCAAAGGAACCCATTCTGAGTCAATTGGGTACATCCAGGCGGCTATGACGAGGGTACTCGCGGACATCCCAGTGGAAGCGATCCAGAAATGTTGCGTAGCATGGAAAACGCGCTGGAATCATTGTATAGCTGCCCAAGGGGACTACTTTGAAGGGAATGGCACAGTTGTTGAATAATTTTTTTATGGCATCGGTCTCATTACTTAATTGTCATACCTCGTATGTATTATGTTGATTATTTGATTTTGGTTCGGTACTTTAAAGACCCCTTGGAACCGCTACAAATATGGAATACTCTAAAAATTTTTTAACTCATACACTAAATTGTCAGATAGGGCAAGCTGGTATTGGAAATTACTTTAAAAAATAATAATGTATGTAATGTAATAAATAATAATTAAAATACTAAAATGCGTATACCCTAATATCCGGAAAGAATAAAACATAGCGAGAGACGGCGAATGAGAGACAATCAAAATCTTAAATGTGAGAAATTCGCAAACAATTGAATTTCAGTTTAAAGGATGCGCAGAAGGTCATACTTCCGCTTGAATGCCAAGCAAAACTTGCACACGCTGATTTATAAACGAGTGTATACTCACATAAATATATGTATATAAAAATCGGCAGATATTCTTACAATTACAATTTTGTATATGTAATATATATATGTAGAGTACTTGCGAAGGATCTTCTTTTGCTTCACAGGCAAACCTGGCTCATGTCCGCTTTGTACATTTTTTCTTCTACGCCTTTAGACCTGGTTTACAACGGCAACATCATCATTTGGTATTGTGTCGCAGTCTTCTGGTCATTCATTATCTTTAATGTGAAAATGTTGCCGCTTACTTACATACATATATATCATACATACACGTACATAAGATATTTACTTACTTTATAGATTTTCATGCGATTTTTATTATTGGCTCATTTGCAGTTGTTGGCGTTATGAGCATGTCGTAAATGTCAGGCGTAAATACATATAGCATACGTGTACATACATATAAGCAGTAAGTAAATTTGTAATCTTACATCGATATGTTTCCCTTTGCTCTCTTGGCAGCTGCATGGAAGTGGTAAAAATTTAATGATGAAGCTAAATCAGCAATTTCTTTTCTACAAACTGCTTCAATTTTTATGGGAAACACAGTTCGATTATGTTTATCATTTGGAGAATTGTCCTTAACGTAGTTGCATAGTAAGCGATTCACTTTTGTTGTAATTAAGGCTAGTGGATTTTTTATTATTATATACATATATATATAAGGCTTTGTCCTGAATGGCTGACGGATCAACAAACAGTCCAAACCAGTGATCGTAGAGACTTGAATCTTTGAGGGTCATACCACTGCTTGAATGCCAGGATGTCTTTTGAGTATGGTAAAAAAGGACTCTCTGTGAAATTGACCTGAGACCGATCTATTGGAAACAATTGAAATTATTTTTAAATCATTAGGGTTACGGGAAAATTGGTACAGAGGCAGCTCTTTGCCTAAACTGACATGGAGAATACTTTTTCCTTTTTTCTTCCGAGAAGTGGACATCAATTCGAAAAATTCTTATTTATTGTTTAGTTAACATAAATTGTGATAGAAAGGTATTTATCGGCCTAAAATTGCTTAGCAGAAAGCAGGGTTTGGAGATACCTTTTTTTGTTTGAATTTTCCTGATAGTATACACAAGACACATCTACTATACGTTATGTATTGTTGGCCAAAGTAAAGAAGCAGATATGATATCGGCTTAGCGGCCCCATCATGCTTTTGGAGAACTCTACTATATTGTTAGCAGGGGATTTCCGGCAGATTTGGCCAGTAGTGTGCAAGGGAATTCGCGAGCGGTCGAAGTCCAAACATGCGGAAAGCGATCTCATTTATGATCTGAAAAGAAAAAAGAAAAAACTGAGTCTCACCAAAAATATGAGTAATCATTAGAGAGCAGATGTTAGTGCCGGGCATTTTTTAGATATGGAAATGGCGATATTCTGAAACTGAGTAACAATCTTATTGTTTCTACAGCCTCAGGCACATTTGTTCCATAAATAATATGCACGATAAGCCCGCAGTATGGTTATACAATCGTGTCATCTTAGCTTCAAAAGATGTGTAAGCCTCAGTCATAAATGGAATACTTTTAATATCACTTGTAGGCCTCAAATAGCAGTATAAATCCATCATTTCTGTTATATATATCGACGATGCCATTCATCAACCGGTCGAGTTTCTGAATACACTGAAGCCTCTCAATTAAAGTGAGGTAATTGAGAGTTGGAGCGTCAATTAAGTTACAGTAAAACCTACTGCTGGGCAGTAGGTCAGATGAATGTTTAATTTGAGCTTCGCACTATTAATATTTCGGGTTAGTTCTTCTTTCTTAATGCTAGTAGCACTGTCATTGACATCTACGCCAAATTTCATGTTAATGTCATCATTGGTATTTTAGTTACGCCTGTGTTTGCTAAACGACTAAAAGTGCCTTCGGTGATTTTTATAATGTCTGATTTGTCAAAGAAGTGCGAACGAATTTTCGGCTGCTTAAACGTTGAGGATGCTAAAGTAAACCTTTGTGGACTCAACCGGATTGCAGAAGAACGTTTATAAGTGGTACAAAGATTTCAAAGGATATCATGCTAAAGGTGAGACCGAATCGAAAAAATCACGTCAAAGTCGCTCAAAAATCAAGCTCATGTTGACTGCTTTCTTCAATTTTCGTGGTGTGGTGCACTAAGAGTTCTCTCCGCCCGATCAAACAATAAACATGGAATAAGCGTTATGCGTCGTTTGCCTGAAACAATTCGCAAAAAAAAAACACAATTTCTTGGTTTTTGCATCACGATAATGCACCCTCGCACACAGCACTCCTTCTTCGTGACCATTTCGCTTAAAATTCCAAAAATATCATTCCCCAACCACCGTGTTCGCCGGACTTAGCATCATGTGACTTCTGGCTGTTCCAAAAGCTCAAGAGCCCACTTCAAGGACACCGTTTTAAGTCAATTGAGGCGATTAAACGTGAATCGGCGCGCTCTCTGAAGGTCGTTGCAGAATGTGGCTATTTGACTGGCTTCGATAATTGGAAAAAGCGTTCGCATAAATGTATTGCATCCGCAGGGGACTCTTTTGTAGATGACGAAATCGATGTAGAAGAATTAATAAAGATTTTTAATTTTACAAACAAATTCAGCTTACTTTTTGCTCGCAATAGTAAATCCACATAAGCAAAGCCAAGGTCAAGCTCTTAAAGTAGTAAGAGAGTAGACTTGAGATTAAGTTGCTTCTCCCATGGCATGCTTTCATATTTTGAGCGGGGAAGTGGCACACACTATCTGAGATAGGCAAGTAATAACTCAAGATTTACTAAAAGGATTTTCGTTTTGCTCTCTGAAATGCCAAGCTCCTGTCTACATCATGGTCTTAATAAAGACGGGAAGAAACAGAGCAGATGTTCGAACGACTTGAACCTAGAATCTCCACCATTACTGTCAGTATTGCTGTCAGTATTGCTGTCGAGCCCAGCTTCAGGACGTTGATTTAATTCATCGTAGTAAAATCATTCCAGTGATTTGTTAGTAATTTTATTTTTGTTCTGAAAATATTGAAAGTTCTTCCACACCGAATTCGGCATTTCGAAATTTTCGACTACTTCCAGGCAAGCAACCGTTTGTTGCAAAGATCTAAACTCTCCATAACTGGGTTACTAGAGCTGTAAATTGTATGCTTCTAAAGCGGATTCTCCAAATATTTTTGAACGTTGTGGTCGCAATAGTCGAGTTGTCAGTCGAGTCGAGCTCGAGTCTTTGTTCGACCAGCGTCTAAAGTTGAGTGAGATTAATTTTTCTAGTTGCGGTCATATCTCGGAGGGAGAGTATTTCTGACATGAAAATCAAAAAATCAAAACTCACAATTTGTTTGGGAACATAAATTTTAGCATAAACGCTTCATCAAAGGATACCAAAAAGCAGTTGGAAGCAGAAATTAGTTAAAAACTCTGACCTCTAGCTCCACACAACCTTGAAAAGTCACGCTTTCTATTAAATAAAGGATAATTAGTTTCTCTTCCAGGTAATGTTTATTAACAACAGTTTTTAATGAGTAAACGTGATAAGCAAACAGAAGTGCAAAATAAGATTAGCGACTCTTAACTCATAGTCAAGGTTAGCTGAACTAGTAATTATGGACACACTGGGTTCCTCCATGTGTGAGTTACTCGGAATATATTATTGAACTGATTAAGATTTCAAAGAAAGGTGCGCAAGCGCCGAGAGACTATAAAATAAACAGCAACCAATAAACAAACGACAGGATACTTGACCTTGCCTTAACGACTTAGAATAATTTGCTAAAATGCGAAGAAGAGTTTGTTGGGCAGTTTTTTGACATCTTGCACATTTTTGGAAACCGTTATATATTTTTTTCTAAGATTTTAGACGTGATCATGTAGTTTGCATTGTTTGCTCTAACGATTTTTTTTTTTTCCCTTTTTGAACACGCAGCGCGTGCAGCAAGGACAAGCAAGCAATGATGAGCATCATTATCCTTGAGTATGCAATGTGGCAGCTTGTGGCGTACTAATGACAAACCCACACGCGTTTTTTTTGGTGTTTGTGTACACAATGTTAGTACAACAATTTAAAAATGTCGAGAAGTTCAAGGCGAATTGGAGGAGTTATGTGTGACTATGTGTTGCAAGTCCTTGTAACAAAAAAAAAAAAATAAAAAAATAATAAAATAAAATATAACAAAAAAAAATTAAAATAAAAAAACAAGTAGACAAAGCGAGTGTGATAAGCAGAAATTGAGTTGCTGCCAATATTGTCATGCCGCCTGTGGCGCAAAACCGCTGTATGTGCATACCACCAGCAGCGCGCAGCCGCAATATACTCGTACTTTTTCGAAGTTTCTTCTGCATCTACTTATAGTTTACACCTACCTTACTTTCTGTATCTGTGCCTCAGCTGTAGGCAACACCTTGTCATACATATATATGCAGTTCTATACTCCTTCTTTCAGGCAGAGATGCTTCTATTTTCTATCTACACATCCATACATCGTCCTTTGTGTTGCACTCTCCCTTTTGTTCTGCTAATAAAAATGTTGTTATTGCAGTTATTGTTGTTATTCGGCTACTTTTTCTTCTTATTTGATGTAGTAAAAATGCAATTATGATTGCATTATGGTTTCATATTGTTGTCTCTATACCAAAAATCGACGAAAAATCCATACATATCAATATGTATGAAAAAAATTTTGTTTTCTTTTAGAAAAATTTCTGGAAATTTACGAAAAAAAAATATATTTTAAAGTGTCACTATAAAGTAACACATTTGATTTTGTCTTCGTCGTCGTCTTTGTTGTATTTGTTGGTCTTCTTTGATTTATGATTTGTCCTTTGGTGTTGCCTTCGAACAATAATTGCCTTAAAATTGGCCACATTTCCTTGACATTTTCCATGTTTATATATTTACTGCATAGCACTTTCAGATATATATATATATGTATGTATGTGTATTTCTCACACTTTGCTTTTGGTTTGGTTCCCGCATGCGTTTCATCCTTCGCATGTCCTTTTGTTTGTCAATCACCTTTTCCTTTGGCATATTCGTCTGTAATTGAAACCGAAATTGTTTGGTTGTTGCTTAATAAATCAGTCATGTATATTATAGTTTTATAGTTATTTTGTAATCGTTTTTGAGTTGGCACTTTTTCTTAGTATTCCCTTTTTGTTTTGTTGTTGCGCACTGCTCCTTGCTTGTACAGCGAAAGGTGTTGGCATTGCTTAGTCCAGGTGGAAAATTTCGTACGTTTCCTTTGTGCTCGTTTTATTGTTATTGGTTTTGTATTGTTCTCTTTGTTTTTTTTTGGACATTGTCAAGTCAATTTCGCTTTTGTATTTATTTTTTATTTTTTATATAATATATATATATTTTTTATATACATATTTATATACATACATATATGTTTTGATAGTTATCTAACTAACCTTAAAATTGAGTTTTAAAGGCAGCAGGCCATCTCAGTCATGCTTTCATAGAATCCATACTGAGATAGGGAATTTTTAAATGATTGCCAGCTATGATCAGTGCTGAAAATTTTGCAGATTTGCAGAAATAATCGTTAAAGAGTCCTTAAAACGCTTTACTGAAAAACTTCTAGCAGAATGCTTGTGTGGTCCTGGTATAAATCACTTTCCTAAAAATTTCGGTACCTTCATATGAATCACACCTGAGTCCTAATCGCATGCTCTGAATTTATGAAAAAACCTGGTGGGTGATGTGAAAACCAATTCTGTAAAGCCCTGAATCAAGACATGAAGAAAGGAAGCTTTAGCGGAGGTACTCGAACATATGAAGTTTGAGGGTTCAGTGAAGTCTTTGTTATTGCAACGTCTGTTCAAAAAAGGTACAGCTGGAAGTAGTCGGAGCGAGAAGGTCTCTATTTATGTAGATGAGCTCTAATTTCTCTACCTTCCGACCTAGTGATGTTTTGCGCTGAACTTGGAACTCGCCATGTAGAAACCAGTTATGAAAAGGCGACAAAAATCAAGATGAGATATCGCATACCTAATGACTACCATTCCAAACATTTTAGGCGATTGTATCAAGAATGACCTGTGTCTGTAAGTAGAAACACACGTTGGCCGGCACAGAGACCGAGGAGAACAGATTCTCCTGGCATATACTACAGCGGTCATATTTAATACTTCCATCTTTATGTTCTCAATGGTGACGGATCCGTTCTATGAGCATCTGGAGTGTTAAGATCACTACAATATTTAGATCGTGCTTGTTGACTTGCGAGGGTCTCATCCCTTCAAAGGTCCCACATCGAGCATAGCGTTACCAGAAACCAAAACCATGTCCTGATATACTTCCTGTTGTGTTCCCGATAGAGGAATACTGCTCTTCTTTTAGCGAATTGAAGCAGGCGTTTTGGTCCTTTGACCCTTGATGGTTGAAGGTCCATCAATTTAAATAGCCGCTATCTGCTAAACGCCGGACAGTCACGTAGTACATGCTTTGTTGTTTTCTGGCATTATTTGCCTTTACTGCATTTGTAGTAATCAACGAGATGTAGTTTGGAGAATGTCACACCAACTGACAATGTACCATTGAGAGTTTTACTAGCAAGCAGCCTGGAGTCTGATCGCTTTGTTGCTAATGTGAATTTGGTATGCAAAGTCCGTTAGCGCGACGGCTGGAAGTGTTTCTTGTTCAAGATACACTTCTCTGACTGGAACTGGTAAGTTTATGGTTATAGCCTGCTTTCAAAGGACTCCATTTTGAGCCAATTCATCAGCTATCTCATTGCTTTCGACGCCTTTGTGCCGTGGCACACAATAAACGTTCGCCTGCTTTCTTCCACTTTTTTTTTTGTTTAAGCGCAACTGACTTCGTGGTAAAAGAAAGCAATGTCTTAATTTTTTTTTTAAATGTGAATTCTCCTTTTGTGTGGATCAAGTCGCTGCAGAAACTCTGTCACCATGTTTATGGCAAATATTTCGACTCTGAATTGGGTAAGCAACCTAAATTACTTACTAATCTCCGTTCGGGCGCAATCAACTGCAGACTGCCCTCCGTCGTTCATTTTAAAGTCACACGTAAAGATATGCAAGGCTTTATCTACGTACTCGAGTCTTTTGCTTCAACCGCACGCTTCTACTAAAGCTGGCAGGAGCTTTCCGAAAGTCGGGCGCGGATCAATTTAGTCTATTCGAATTTTTAATGTCAACGCTATACTACTGTTCCCTTACGAAAGTATTGGTGAGATTCAACTCAACATCCTTCTACATTACTACATATCTTTTTCACTCGCCCCTTTTCCACTCGCCCCTTCACATTGAGCATCCATGACATACGACAAGTCGTAGTCGTAGTAGAGGTAAGACTGCTTACCTCGCAACGTTGCGATCGTCGACAATAAGTACGAGTTGCAGGGCGAAACAAGGCACATTCGTAGACAACAAAGAAGGCTAAAATATGAACGAAAACGAGGAAAAGCCTAATAGCTGTATGACAGTGAAAGGCCAAGATTTGAAGATAGTGACTCAAATCCCTAATCGAAGGTAATAGAACAGATGTTCAGTCACACACAATGCTGAAGTTCCATTGCCGCTATTGAAGAATAACAAAACGTCTAATTGGCAGAGCTATTCAAATACGGCGTTAGAGAACTAACAAAGCTTGCATCAGTTTCTTTGTAGAATATGATGGGCCAACGATTGGAATCTCAATGTGCTCTGTTCATCAATCCATATGAGGGGGGATGCCACGGTCAGCGCCAATTACTGTGGGTTAAGCTAACCAAGTATCGCATCTACATAAGGTGTTATCTAGCGAATGACTGGAAATATTAAAGCGCGCTGGCAACAAACTGATTGGAACTTACTAGTGTAACTTTAGACCTCGTAGTTCAACCATTGATCGTACTATATGCGTTAGGTGACAAAATTTGGAGTAGAACTCTGAGTAGAGTATCCACAAACATCAGCTCTTTGTCGAAGCTGCTGTATACAGTACGAAAGGGACTGACTTGCCGCTTCTATCCATAAACTTCATACCACCGCAAAACCTATACGACTGTGTAAGCTGGTGCCTGACAATACTGGTGGCGGAGTTGAAATTGGAAGGGACTCCTACGAGCTGTTCAAAACTAAACAAGATTTTACACTGGCTGACTCCGCATACGAGCCGCAGATCTCAATAGAGAAGGCATTATTTTCTATCAGAAATCCAAGGAAAAATCACTACTGGCAACAGCTGTTGTTTTGGACTGTGTAAAGTACCCACTAGCGATATACAAAACTCAAGCTCTGTAAGTCGCTCTTCGTTCGACAAGTGTGGGCCTTAAGAGCATTCATTGAGTCGACGCTGGGAGTTTTCGAGTGCACAGTTTTGTAAACAAATATATGTACCGTTGGCTTAGGCTGAGAGAAAGCTTATGCGCTCTGCTTCCACCTTCTCTTTCTATAATTTTTTGCTTTCAACTTTTACTGTTTCTTAAGTGCCTTTGTACATAAAAAAGTATAACAGAAGATTTTCAATAATTTTATTTTTTAAATCCCAGAAAAACCTACTAATTTCTATTGTTAAAAAATAAAAATAAAAAAAATCAAACTTACCATAACTCAAATACTTATACTCCGCACACAGATTAAAGGGATTACATACGAAAGCGCGATGTTCCACAGCTAATAAACAAAAATACTTTCTGTAAAGAATAGAAATTAAAGAAAAAGGAAATTAGCATATGAATCGCTTGCAACACAACTGAGGCAACATATTGAGAATTTAACTAATTGATTTAGTCGATAAATGGGATTTAAAGTTTTAATCATATTAAAAACCTCTAGCGCATGTTACTTCACTCACACCAAGAAGAAATCGATAGTGGTAGAGTGGAAGGGAGAGCAGTGCGTTGAATTTCCTATTAATGTTGCAGCAACATCGCTTGGTGCGTGTCGCCACCAGAGTTAAAGCACTTGAGTGCTGTTGTTGTGCGAACAACCTGCATAAAAATTGTGTCTACTTCATACAGGCTTACATACAAACATACGTATGTATTGTATATTCTATAAATTCGAAAGTCCCTTTTTTATGATTTCACTTTGTTGTGTTCTTTAAGCTCACATTTAATGCCCGACCATTGACTAATTTCAAAATAATCCGCTTAAAGCTATAAATTCTCAAATTGAAAGCCAAACTGGCCATACTTTATTAATGCGTTGCTGGAGGAAATGACCAGTTAAATGATATGAGCCGACGAAAGAAGCTGGTTGATACATTATTCCAAAAAAAAAAAAAAAAAAAAAAAAAAAAAAACCGAAAAAAACAGAAAAAAACAGGAAAAAAAAAAAAAAAAAAATTCTGGGCTCTTCTTGTTGTTGTTATTGTTGTTATTAATGTTGTTGGGCATACATACGAATCTCATTAGTTGTTGTGTATTTTCGGCCGCTTTGCACACAGCCTGCTGGTGGCAGCAACAAAACAACTATACAAGCTTTATGAATGAATGCATGATGCTTCATGGTATGGATGTGTGTATATACGAGGGGTGACAGATAGGTCGTGACTTGAAGTACTGAATGAAACAAATTTATAGTTTTCTGTTATTTATTTTTCAATATAGGGACCCTGAAGTGGAAGACACTTTCACATCATGCATGCAAAGCCTTTATAATACTGTTAAAAAAATGTTTTTTTGAATTCTCTTCAAAGTGATTTCCTGCAGCCGCTTTCACCTCACCGTGGTCTCAACAGCTTCTTTCCTTGCAACTTCTATTTAAAATTAAAAAAAGTCACTAGGAGCCAGATCCGGTCTGTATGGTAAATG